GATATTCCAGCCAGGACACTCTCTGTACTCTGCAGCTCCTCAGTATTCTACCAAAGCTAATAGGCTCTGATTCAAAAATTAGAGTTCTTCACAATATTTATCTGTCATAATAGAGAACAGGGAAATTTGTGAATAATTGAACAGCATAATTTTACATCTCTTGAGTTAGTGGTTTATTATCTTCAACAGAACTTGTACCTTTTTACTCTCTAAGGATGAGTAAATTCTATTGTTATCCTCTCATCTACCTTATCTCTATATTGTAAACACCATGAGGGCAGGCACCCAGTTTTTATGCCTTTTTTCCCCTTCTAAGTAGTAGGCACTGTGCCTTGCTTATAGAAGGCATTAAACTTATTTAAAAACAAAGAACAACAACAACAAAACAACTTGGATAGATCACAAGCTTGAGGTCCAGATTTTAAAGAATCATTTTGAATGGAGGCCCATGGAGGCACTAGAAAGTTGTTGGTTTCCCCTCTCTGGGTCTTCTTACTCCTGAGCAAGCTCATAGGCCCTAGACTGGGACATATGCATGCATCCTGTTCAGCCAGTAATAGATTACCTAGTTACCTTCATGGGATGGATAATGTTGACCTTTTGCTTAACATGAAAGATATCAAGATGGATGCTTCCCCCTCCCAAGAAAATTAGCAAGAGAAGTTATTTCTTTCCTTTATAACTTGGTTTGGATAAAACCAAGTTTTTCTTGAGAGAAAATTTTAACATAACCACTCAAAACTTTTATGTTGGGGCGCCTGGGTGCCTCAGTCGGTTGAGCATCCGACTTCAGCTCAGGTCATGATCTCACGGTCCGTGAGTTCGAGCCCCGTGTTGGGCTCTGTGCTGACAGCTCAGAGCCTGGAGTCTGCTTTGGATTCTGTGTCTCCCTCTTTCTCTGCCCCTCCCCTGCTCATTCTCTGTCTCTCTCTGTCTCAAAAATAAATAAAAACATTAAAAAAAAAAAACTGGATGATTTGTCTATTTAAAATTTAAAAAAAAAAACTTTTGTTGCTTTACAATTATTTTCTGTCACATTCAGTTATTTGTCAAGGTTCTGTCATTTCTCCAAAATTGCTTCTCATACCTGTTTCCATTTTTCATTTTTCACACTCCTCCGAATCAAATTTTTGTTCCCTCTCACCAGGGAAACCTTTAACTTTCCAATCCACTATAATCCATCCTTCATGCTGCACAACAGGTCAGCTTTCTAAAACAAAGCCCTCACCAAGTCATTATCCTTCTTAAAAACGTCCCATGATTCCTCATTTTCTGGATCTTTTGCAGCTTTATCTTTTTTAAAAAAATTTTTGTTTTTAAATGTTCATTTACTTCGAGAGAGGGAGAGAGAGAGAGAGTGTGTGCGTGCTCACACGTTTGGGAGAAGCAGAGAAAGAAGGAGGGAGAATCCCAAGCAGGCTCCACTCTGTCAGCACAGAGCTGGATGCGAGGCTCAATCTCACCTACTGTGAGATCATGACGTGGGCTGAAATCAAGAGTCAGACAGTTAACCAACTGAGCCACCCAGGTGCCCCTGCAGCTTTATCTTTAACATTTCTGTGATGCAAATGCCTCAGAGTATGTGTGTTTCCACAGGTTTCTTCTCATTGCTCCCACTTCTTGAACACCTTTCCTGTCCCTGCCTGCTAAATTCTAACCCTTCAAAGCTCAGCTCAAACTTTTCCCTTCTAGTAAGCCATCCTTCATCCACCCGGAATCAGTCTTCACCTTTGTGAAGTATTTTGCCTCTTGTAATAATTTTGTTCCTAAGTGTCTCCCCTTCACTGTTTTGAACTTGAGGGCATGGCTCATACTTTATTCTTCTCTGTGTTCCCTGCAGTGCCTTGCACAAACTGACACTTTAATGTTAATGTATAGCAAATACATTTGCTAGTCTTTTGGCTGATTGAGAGAAAAGAAGAAATCAGAAAGAGGTAGGCAGAAATGGGTGGGGTGGGTAACAAATGGGATAAGGGCAACTGAGGGGGAGAACATGGTAGTATATTAGGAAGATTGCTGGGTTCTGATAAAAAATCAGCTGGTGAAGGGGCAGGCACCTGGGCAGTTCAGTACTAGCGATCTTTGCTTTTGCTTGGCATGTACCCTCTGTCTACAATAATCTCCCTTTACCCTATATCCACTGGAGTTCATATGTACATGTGTTTGAAGCAGTAGTTGACCAAGAAATTAAAGTGAACAGGGGCACCTGGGTGGCTCAGTTGGTTGACTGTCTGACTATAACGCAGGTCACAATCTCACTATTCGTGGGTTCGAGCCCCACATCAGTCTCTGCTGTCACTACAGAGCCTGCTTCAGATCCTCAGTCCCCCTTTCTCTGTGCCTCTCCTCCGTTCATGCTCTCTAAAAACTAAAAACATTAAAAGGAACTGATGATATAGAATTTTACCATTGGCCTCCAAGAAATTTCTTTTTGGTAAATTTAATATTTTATTTCCTTTGATGACTGTTTCAAACTTTCCCCACTCTGCCAAATGTAAATAGAATGACAGCAGTAAATACAGTGGGAAGAGCACAGAGCTGAGTACAAATCCTAGCTCTGAAACACAGAAGCCCTATGATTGCAGCCAAGACATTTAACTGCTGTGAGCCTTAGTTTCGTCATCTGTCAAGTTGGGATAATACGTGATGGAGGTTAACTAGACTTGCTGTGGTGATATACAAATACCTAATCATTATGTTGTGCATCTGAAACTGATGTATGTTAATTATAGCCCAATAAAAAAATGACACAAAATTTGGGATAATACTACCTAATTTATCAATATTGTTATGAGGACTCAACAAGAAAGTTAATGTAAATTAATATATAGGAAGTGTGACCAATAAATGTTATGTGAGACAGGAAGGAACAGGAAATACAGGAGGACTAGGGGCACCTGGCTGGCTCAGCTGGTAGAGCTTGTGACTTTTTTTTTTTTTTTTAAGCTTATTTATTTATTGAGAACATGAGCAGGGGAGGGGCAGAAAGAGCAAGAGAGAAAATCCCAGGCAGGGTCCTGTCAACACAAAGCCCAACATGGGGCTCTATCTCAGGAATTGTGAGATCATGACCTGAGCCACAATCAAGAGTTGGACACTTAACCGACTGAGCCACCCAGGCGCCCCCAAGCTTGTGACTCTTGATCTGCAGGTCCTGAGTTCAAGCCCACATTGGGTGTAGACTACTTAAAAAATACATATGGACCACAATGCATTAAACAAAAGGTTGAATCAAAAAGTTTATTTGTAAAGTTCCAGGTTAGTTGCAGTGAAGGATACAAAAGAAATATTACTTCCATTTTTAATGAAAATACAATCTAATATGGATTAAATTATTCAATTTTGACAATGTAAAGTCAGTTAATAAAAGCACTTTACCATTCACGTTAACATTCCTGTTTACAAAGCCCTGTGAGAGGGTAAGGATTGTTATTTTCATAATTGTAGCTTTTGATAACATCACAATATTATAACAAGTAAAAATATAATCTCGCAACCTCAGCGCATTAAACATCTATTTTTCCTTCCTAAGACTTTTTCACTGCATACCTAATTTTTAGTCATCACTTCTTTCCATGCCACATAGTAGCTGCAATTATTCCTGTTTTACAGAAGAAGAAACAGGTTTAGAAATGTCAGATGCAAGGGCAAGGGCAGAATTTGATCCAGATTACTTAACTTCATTCAAGGTTCATTAGTACCCCAGTCACAGAGGTAAGCCATTTTTTCCAAGAGTAGAACAGGTGAGAAAGTTTGTTCAAATAGAGGCTGCTATCAATTATCATTCTACCACCTTTACTGTGGGCCATTGGACTTTTCTTTTCTCTCTTCTTTCCTGTTCCTTTCCCTTTTTCCTTTTTTATTTTCTTGTCTTGACCTGATCCTCCCGCTCTTCTGCCCAAGGTTGGATCACACCTTCTTTCTCATTTTAAAATCTTCTACACATCATAGGGCCATTTATTCGAGGAATATTTATTGAACACCAACCATAATACATAGGGAAAACGTGCTAGGTGTTGGCAATATCCTGGAGAGCTTACATGAATCAGGAACCACAAAAATCACATTTGCCTTTTATTTTCCGCTACCTTTGGAGTCTTAGCTCTTCTTTTCTTTTTTAAATTTACTTATTTTGAGAAAGAGCTTGAGTTGGGGAGGGACAAAGAGAGAGGAAGAAAGAATGAGGATCCCAAGCAGGCTCCGCGCTGTCAGCGCAGAGCCCAACGAGGGACTTGAACTCAGGAATCCCCGAGATCACGACCTGAGCAGAAACCAAGAGTGGGAGGCTTAACTGAGCCACCCAGGCACCTGGGGAGTCTTAGCTTTTGAGTAAATGTCACAATTTCCACTCCTTTAACACACGTTTAAGTCTCAACCACCTAACAGCGCTGCCGGGAACCGCCCAGAGATGTCAATTCCACCACCCAGGACAACACAACCTAAGCTCTAACTCGAAATTTCCCTAACAGGAATAAAGGTTGGAAATGGCATTTCCAGTGTGTTCCCTAGAACGAACTTCCGCCCAGCCAGTACAAACGTAGAGAGACATCCTTAGGTGAGACCTACTCAAAATTAAGAAAAGGCATCCTACGTCTGTCTGATTTCTTAATGAGACCATTTTATTTTTGTTGATTTTAGAGAAGAGACCGAGATTTAAAAAAAAAAAAAAAAAAAAAAAAAAAAAAAAAAAAGCCAGTAGGCGGAAAAAACAACCAGTTATTATGACAACCAAACGGGTCTGGAAAATTCAGCCAATCCACCAATCCACCTGCGGGAATGCCTCCTGCGTAGCCAATAGGAAGAGCGCGTCGTACGTAAGGCCGCCCAATGGGGGCGCGAGCAGCGCGGTATTTGAATCCCGTAACAAGGAGACATTGCGAAGATCCTAAGCAGAGCAGGCTGGAGTGCAGAGCTAACGGCGCCGCGGAAGCTTCTGTCCACCATCTCCGGTCCTCGTCCCTCCCTGGGTCGGGCTGGCACTCTTGCCTGTCCCTTCCCCCATGGCGCTACTCCGACGCCCGACGGTGAGTGGGCCCAGCCGACTCCTTCTCCCCCCACCTCCCCACCCACTGACCAGGGGCTTTGGCGGAGCAGCCCCCTCACCCGTCTCTAGCTGCCCCCTCTCTTCTACGCAGGGCTTCTTCCTCCCAACCGCCGCGCCGCTTTCCCGTTCTGCCGGGTTACCTTTTTTCCCCGCGGCCCAGGCCTGCGGCCTGTCCTCTTTTCGGGCCTCTCCCCTCCTGGGATCCGCTCAGGGTTCCCCGCTTTCGCCCTGGCCAGTCCCAGCCCTAGGGTGGGGAAAGTGTAGGAAAGCGCCTCGTAGGTGGCACCTGTCAAGTGAGCCTTTCCAGCACTGGACTTCTCAGCGAGCGATCCCGTAGTGATCTTTGTTGTTAGAGTGCTAGCTAAATAAAGGTTGTTGTAATTGCCTTCCCTGTTCTCAAACTCCGTGGTGGGGATGGAGAGCACTGGAAGAAACGCTGTAGGTAGTAAAGTGTTCTGAATGTTTGATCAAGTAACAGTTAAGGATTTTTCACATTTCGCTCTAAGTTTCCCATTTATTTCTGCATAGGAAGTCTCCCAGGCTAAGTTCACTAACGTACAGATTTGTCCCTTTCAAAAATTCAGTTTCTTCAATCAAGTGTAAAAGAGATTTTACATTTAATGTAGAACAATATGGCAGACAGAGAGAAGGGTCCAGATTCATTTATTTCATCTTTGCAAAAATCCAAGTGTTAATGGTGTTTTGGAGATATATATATATATATATTTG